TAATTAGCTGTTTATCACTTAGGACGGCTACAGTAAATAAATAACACTGAGTTGACTTGTAGCATTTATATACAAAATGTGACTAATGAATATATAAAACCTGACAAACCTGCTGAAATGTGCAACACCACAAAACTTGCCAAAGAAACAAACATGAACAAGAACTTTGTGTGTGCACTTTGTTCTGACTCAGTCCCACACACACACTGCCCTGCTGCTACAACAGAGACCAAATGTGGATTCATCCGCCACTGAAAATAGTGCCCAACAAATGCACTGTTTCCTCCTGTTTGCTTGATAAAACCTTCAGTGAGCAGCTGGACTAGGAAATGACTGAGCCTTGTTTGTTAAATGAAACTATATATTTGGAGTTTGTAAAGATGTACCATGCATCTCCAGTAGGAACCAACGGGCCTGGAGCACTGAGTCCCAGAGAGAAGCCAGAAAGTGTGGAGAGACTGACAACATGTTGCTGGTTGGGACCATTAAAAAAAATGCTGCTGCTTCTTCTGTTATTATGGTGGTGATATATTTGAAATGTACCTCTTTAAAAGATGAATTCGTATTTCTCCCTTCATAAATAAATGCTTGCTGTATTCCTGAATGCATCTGAATCAGGCCCTTCTTTTCCTTATTGTCTGTGAAGGTGAAAGTGTGAATGTAATTTTACTTATTCTTAGACACAAACAACACATAAGTACGTCACTGTGTGTTTGCATGTGTGTGAAGCAGTCAGCTGTCATTACCGGAGGAGTGAAAGCTGAGCTGTTACACAGCACCAGGTGACCTGGCTGCCGTGGCACTGTGTGTTTACGTTTTGACCAAGCCCTGCATAATAAAAGCAACAGGGATTTGAACACTGAAGCTGAGAGATGAACAGCCAGAAAACCTTTATGTGCTGCAAGGAGAGAGCTGAACTTTTACTTCCAGCATTAAGTCTCTGCTTTTATAGGAGTTAATCTTCCTCCACGGGGTGTGATGAGGACGGGTAGCAAAGTGGAGCTCAGGCCTTGCTATAAATCATGACGGGAGTCGCAGAGACACTCCCTGATCTAGTTTATTTGTGCTTACAAATGATCCAGTCCAGGACAGAAACAAAACTCAGAGGGAAGAAGAAGAAAAGGAAACACTGAGCGAGTGGAGGAGCAGAGCTGAAATCCTCGAGGGGCTCGTAAAAGAGAAAGCAAAGAGAGAGTGCAGGAGGAATCAAGATGGCAAACAGAGGCAGAGGTGGGTGGTGAGAAAACAACAGGAAAACTCAAGAAGAGAAGGGGAAAAACATGACAAGATGGAGAAGTAGCAGGCAAGGAGTGTTAAAATAGAGGTGATGCAGCATGTTCAGACCAGACAGAGGAAGATTAATACAATCAATCTATTTGTGGTTTTACTCACAGGAGGATTCTGGATGAATAAATCGCAAGGAGCTTCAGTGCAAGGTCATTGTGTGTGCTTCACATTAAGTGCCTGTCTGAACAGCTCCTAAATGCTCTCTACCCCCGTCCTTTCCAATGCTGCAATCTTTGCAACTGACAGTGATCGGTCAGGTGTGTGGAGAAGAGAATCTAAACAGGTGTAAAACTTCTCTCTAGCCCCCTCTCCCTTTCTTCCCACTACTTCTGAGGACTGAGTCCTGGTTATGAAGTTTGGACCCATGTTAAAAAGGAAAATACTGAGTTAATTCAAAAGTCAAGAGCAACAAGTCTTAAGTTTAGTCCTGAGTCAAGACAGAAGACATGACCAGCACATCTAGAGCCAAGTCTCATGTCAAGAACCAAAAGTGTAGAGTGAAGTGAAAAGTCCTGAGTTAAGCCAAAAGCCAAGAGCAGTAAGTCTCAGCCATGTTCAAGCAAAAGACTCATTAAAACGGCCTGAAATGTTTGGTCCCCAGTTTGTCCCACAGCCAGGGCGCATGGGATTCAAGGCCACGTCGCAGCCACAGTACTCACCCATCCGCACGGCAGAAAGAGCGTTGGTCTGACTGAAGGAGGGCGGGGTCAGCAGCAGAACAACGGCGTAAATCGACAGCAGCAGTGCTGGCAGAGCCGGCATCTTCCACTGCTCCTCATGGAGAATGGTCTGCTGGCTGCCTGTACCGCCACCTGCAGGACGGGAGGAAACAGGCACATCTCACATATCGCTGTATCATAAGATCACCATATTTAAAAAGAAATCCACACATCAGGTCAACACGCAGCAGCTGCACTGTAAACACACAACCGAGCATGAAGACGCACAACAGTGACACTGCGAGCTCCACAACATCTTGTCATTTTATTCATTAGCTCCAGTCAGAGACAGAAACAGCAGCATTAAGGGAAAACCTGTCACATTATCGATGCCTGATAAATGACATCAGTTTGCACAGAATCCCAGGGTCCGTGCTGTCAAATAAGACTTGTGCAAAGAAGATAAGGCCCTGGATTACACACACTCTCACACCCAAATATACATACTCCACTCAGGCATATAAAACTGTCCAACACACACACTATCCAACGTTCACACCAGAACATAGTCCATATCCAGAGAACGTGTCTGTGTATGTACCTGTCAATTTTCAGAAACCAGGAAAGCTTAGATTTGCTATTTGAAGTACTGTGACAGAGATATGATACATGGAGGGTTTGTCTTTTGTCTACTTTGTCCCTTCTTTCCTGAAGGTGCTACATGATCTCATGCAAGCCAACGTTAATCCTTGATTACAGCTTAATTCACTGTAGCAGCACAGAGTTGCTGTTATCTAACAACTGAGAGCTGCTGTTTCATCACACTGTGATACCGGTGTCATTATCTGACAACAGGAACAAAACAACGAAGTAATGGTTTCATTAAAGCACAGTGTAGTGATACAAACATATAAGGAAGGACCCAAAGGTTTAACCAAAGAGATGCAGCTGCTTTTCTGTTTTGAGACCAGAAAAAGTGGAGGTCTTTATGGAAATGACCTGTAGAGGTTCAGGTGGATGCAGATTGCACCGTGTTTCTGAATGAGCTCATTTTGTGTGAAGACTCTAAGAGAAGGCAAGGAAGGCTCAGAACGTGAGACAGTGACAGAGGAGAAACGCAGAACATGTGAGAAGACGGAGACAGGAAGGGCAGCAGAGCAAGCCACAGAGAGAGGACCAGCTTGAAGGAGAAACTGGAGGGAGGAAGCGTGAAATATTAGAGGACAAAAGTAAGTAAGAGATGAAGATGTCATATGTTGTGAAGAGAAGAGATTTAAAATGGCCGAGTAAAGAAGCCTGATGAAATGAGCCCAGACCTTCAAAGTATATTAGAGCAACTGAAGGGAGATGTTCTGTATGAACAGGGCGTGTGCGCATGTCTGTATTTAACTTCTCAGAGCAACAACACTGTTCAATCCCATCATGGAACTGCGTCACCTTGGGGTGAGCACACCCCTCGCTAAATGTTCCTCACTGCCCTGCCAATGAGGCTTCACACATTAGATTGACTCCAGTCAATGAGCTCAATTGCAACGAGTGAGATGCAAACCGCAGCCACTGAAGGATGAAGAGTGAAAGATAAAAGCCACCAGTGGGGTGTGGGGGGGGTGGTAAGAGTTTGTGTTATAAGTGATACAGATGATGCTGATAACGTTGATGCAGCTCTTTTAGCTACGTTCTGATAGATGCAGTCTTGATAAGTGTGTGTTTTCTTTTCAGTGTGTGAATGTGCAAAGTGAAGTTCTAGTCATACAGTTCATTAGAGACACAGTCACAGTGTCTTTAAAACCCTTTAAAGTGATTTAGATGCAGGGACGCTTCTGCAGTCTGAGTTAGAGCCATCGAGTAGTGTTGGGCCATTGGTACAGAACCTCCCTCTGTGAGCAGCCCAGCTGTGCATCTCCACTGTCGGTGGAATTCAGGAGAAAGTTCAACAGTTTCAGTTTGTCTTTAGCCCGTCGGATCTGTAAACTGACTAACCTGCACTATGGACTTCATGAGAGGCCAAAAACAACCGAGCTGCTGTGCTTCTAAAATGAGCCAACAAAACAACCTGCTGCTTGCCAACAATCATGCCTGGAAAGTGAATGAATTAAGATTTCTAAAAAAAAAAATCAATGCAGAGCAAAGAGAGTGCACAGGAAGACATCAACAGACATTAAAAGAAAACGATAAATAGAGGGACAGTAATTGTAAAAGAGACTAAAAACCAGAGACAAAGATAAGACAGCAAATAGGGAAGTGACAAATGAAAGAACATGAAGGAAACAATCTGAGTGACAGAAAATGGGCCAGAAGAGAAAATGAGAAATGGCTTCAGGCAGAAATAAACAAATGATAATTAATTGGGGTGTTTTCTGCAGGTAGTGCTAGAGCATCATGTCAGGTGGCGAACGCGGCCGATAGGACCCATCAATACCGGCCGCCTTCGCAGTTCACCGCAGCAGCTCTGAGGCTCATCACAGCCAATGCTCTGCTCAATCGCAGCTCATGTGGCATTGGAGCCATTTAGCTGACACTCATTCATGATGGCTTACAACAGATGAAGAGAGTGAGGGTCAGAGAGGTGGCAGCAGAGTACCAAACAATCCAGTCATCATCCACAAATATCAGGCCATATTTGTGGACTGAAAAGAAGAAATGTGAGTGGCATCTTCAAAGATGGGGCTTTCCACTCTGGGACTGTCAGGGAATTCTACAGGAAAGGCCCTGGACAGACTAGTGACCAGTTGTACCAGGGCCCCGAGGGGTCAAGTGGCCCCTGGGCCAGAATCGCTCTTTAAACTTACAATAAAACAATAAGTCAGGTTATGTTTAGAAAGAAACTAGGTGGTTAAGGTTAGGAAAAGGCCATGGGGTCAGTTAAAACACTGTTAAACAGACAAAACACCTAAAACAATGTGTGACACAATCTCTGGTCATCTGCACGAACCTCAGGTGTTCATCTGAACCATCCCTCCACCTTCTAGTGTTTTTAATATTTGAAAGTTCCCACCCACACGCCTTCAGCAGACACTACACGGCAGTTTTCTTCTTCACAGTTGGTGGCAGTAATGCACCATTTCCTTGTTTGGCAACCCCCGTCAATCACCAGGAAGACTACCATGAAGAAAGACAACTGGTTGCAATTCAATGACTACAAAGGCAAAAAAATGACTGTGAAGAATGGTCATACATGACAGAGCCACCATCACTGCCACACTCTCTAAGTGTTGGTTTTAAGGAATGTTGAAAAATGAACATTCTAGCATAAACCTGGGACACCTGTATTGTCTGATTCATCCAGCTCGTTCCTCTACACAGCAACAGCCAGCCTGGTAGTGGGATCACAGAAAACCTTTGGAGAATCAATTCAGCAGGGCAAAGGATCTCAGTTCAAACTGCAGCATAGCTGCTTCAGTCAACATTAATTAATTTCTCCAACACAAAAGGTCAGGAAACACACCTTGTAATCTGCACAAACCCAAACTCTCCCTCCCCCACAGTGGCGCTTTAAAGGTTATATCGTAAATTTGACTTTCTTGTTTCACAGCTGACCCTCCTTCAGCCAAACCAGAGGAAACGTCAGAGCAGCTGTGAGCTTTTCTGATGTGTGCAATAAAGAGGGAAAAGGCTCCCCCCAGCAGAAGACGAGTACGGTGGATAAAGCACTTTTTCTGTTGGTAATGGCCCCTAATGCTCACCTAAATATAGGATATTAGTTTTCTCTCCCTTTGGGGATAAGGAGATTTTGTTTTGCAGCAGCAGCATCATGAGTGTTGCTGACTCAAACAACTATAATGACATGGTAATCCTCTCATTTAGCTGCTGACACATGACACATTTGTGCCTCCAGAAAAAGCATGGAGGCAGGAGGAGGGGAGAAGGAGGAAGGGTCGATTCCTACACAGAACACAGTCTGCTTTCTTTAAAAATCATACTGTCATCCTGTGGGACTTTCAACGGCAGGGAACAACATGCTGCAAAACAAAAGTGACAGAGAGAAGAATGTGGATTTGTCATCGCTGCACAACACTTTTAGATTTAATGGAAGCCTACAATGGTCCAAAGTGGTTTACAGCAGTTTCTCTGTAAATGGTGGTTACCTGTGGTTCTCGGCGACGTCACAGTGTAAATGCTTTGTGCATAGAACACAATTTGTGTGGGTTGTTTTTAAAGGAGAAAGGCTACAATAAAGAGATGGGGCGAGATCATTCAGCACCGAGGCAGCGCACTCTTCTGAATGTGTATATTAATAACTGGGAATATTTAAAATGAAATGAGGCTGTGCAAATGTTCTCTAGCAATACAACAAGAGCCTCTGAAAGAATCCTTGGATCCACCACAAAAGCTCTTCAGTGCTCCCTTGGCCCAAAGTCGAACTTTCCACCAGACCTCAATGACATTTTCTGTTAACGGACAATGAATAATGGGGCCAAACTCAGTGCATTTATTCACATATTTTATGTTTTTAAAATCTCTCAGCTTCTCTGAGATGGTTTTCACTCTGGGTTTCTTGGTTTGAGTTACAGGGCAGACATGGTCCCAAACACTGAAGAAACACTGGTGATTTACTGGATACAAAACAAGTTTGGACTTGACGTCATCAGGGGCCGTGCAGCATGTGACCATAGAGGTCCATGTATATACTTCATCTATTTAAACCCAGTCGAATGTGTCAGGATGTGCATTCACTGCTTTGGGTTCAAATCAAAGTCCAGTTGTCCCCTGCTGGTCTTTCACACTGTCAAGAAGTCAAGGAGTGGACGGGTGGACGGGTGGACGAGTGTTTCTGATACCACCCATCCACTCTGCAGAGAAGCAACAGACGAGCACCTGCACCTACCACACTGTATGGTACTGAGCCAGGTTGAATATTGTTCTCCGCTCATGAATTACCAAACCATTTGTCACCATAGTTTTCTTGCCAACAAAGAAAGAACTGCATAATGCATACCAGTGTTTTTGGCTAACTCACTATGAGACTTGGACTAAAAAAGGCTGAAGGCTGAGAGCAACCCGAGGTATTGGTGCTGTTCACACCTTTCCTGACATGAAAATCAGTGCTGGAAAAAAATGAATGAACAAGTCTTCTTCTTGCTGCTACTTGTTTTGAGTTATCTGGTGATACCAGCTCCTGTATGCAGCTGTCAGCATTTCCAGTACTCACTGAA